GAATTTGGAAGACAGAATCTAAGTCTTGTATTAATTCTTGTGAAAACTGCGTCTTGACGACCATGTCATCTACATAACATTCTATTTTCGTGCCAATTAAGGGCCGAAACAGTTTATTTACAAGTCTCTGGAAGGTCGCCCCAGCATTCTTCAGTCCGAAGGGCATGACCTTGTAGCAGTACAGGCCGAACTCGGTAATGAAGCTGGTTTTTTCCTCATCGGACTGGTCCATCCTAATTTGGTTGTAGCCTGAGTAGGCGTCCAAGAAGCTTAGCAACTCATGTCCCGAGGTCGCGTCCACTAGGCGGTCAATTCTGGGGAGGGGAAAGCAGTCTTTTGGGCAAGCTCGGTGTAGTCGACGCACATGCGCCACTTGCTGTTTGCCTTTTTCACTAGTACTGGGTTGGCTACCCAGCTCGGGTAATGAACTTCCCTTATGAAGTCCGCTGCGAGGAGCTTTTCAACTTCCTCGTCGACCACCCTCCAGCGCTCCAGGGCTAAGTTGCGTTTCTTCTGTCTAATGGGTTTGACTACAGGGTCAGTGTTAAGTTTGTGAGTTATAAGGCCAGGGTCAATACCGGGCATATCGGCCGCGGACCATGCAAAAATATCTAAATTTTGAAGTAAGAAACTCATCAGTTCGGTTCGTAGAGGCTCCTTGACGGAAGCACCGATCTGTAGCGTTTGAGCCGGATCCGTAGCTGAAGTCAGGATTGCAACCGTTTCCTCTGTGGGCGAGGCTCGTTCCTCTTCCTGCTTCGTAGGCCGCTCTAGCTTGAGGTTGTCGGCCGCCTTGGTTTTTCCCTTCAGGGCGGCAACATAACACTTCGGGACTCAAGCTGGTCGCCCCGCGCTACCCCCACACCGAAGTCTGTAGGGAACTTCATTGCCAGATAGTAGGTGGAGACCACTGCCTGCAGAATATGCGTAAGTGGCTGCCCTATTATGGCATTGTATGGGGAGGGGGTCGCGACCACCAGGAAATCGTGGTTGAGTCTGACCGCACAAGGCCATGTGCCGACTTCCACAGGTACTGTTATCTTCCCGAGGGGCCTGACTTCCTCTCCGCTGAAGCCCACCAGAGGAGTGTTTGCGGGCTTCAGCTCGCTTCTCTGCAACTGTAGCTGGTCAAATGCCGACTTAAAGAGGATGTCCGCCGAGCTACCTGAATCCACAAGTACGCGCCTGACTTCGAAGTCGCCGATCCTTAGTTTTATGACGAGCGCGTCATCGTGGGGGTAGTGGACAACTCACGCATCGTCTTCCGTGAAGAAGATCGGTTCTTCTGCCTTCGGCCTCTTTGGCGGGTTCTTTTCTTCTCGGGCTGCCTCGCGAACTGACGTCCGGGCTGCTGCCGAAGTACACCTTGCTACCATCAAACCTCCCACTATCACATGGATGGTTCCCCGAACTGGCCTCTCTTCCGGAGGCTGTCGTTGCAATGCTTCAGCCGGTCTGTTACTGGATTCGGGGGCATCCTTTCCGTGCTCCCCTTGCCGACCTGTCTTATTGTTATTATTATTATTATGCTGTACAAAATTTCTCAAGTATCCGCGACAGATGAGTCCCTCTATCTCGTCTCGGAGATTATTACACTATTCGGTACTATGACCGTGATCTCTATGAAAACTACAGTACAGATTTTTATTTCTCATTTGGATTCCCCTTTAGGCGAGGTGGCCACTTTACGTATGGGGCGTCTTTGATCGTCATCAAGATCTCGGTCCGCCTCGTGTTTAACGGCGTGTAATTCGTCCGAACTGCTAAGGGAGCTTAGGACGGCTGGCTTGGCTTCGCCTTCCGGGCCGGGTTTCTTCTATCACCTGGGTTGGAGGGCTCACCTTCTCTTTTCCTCTTCTCGACCCCGCCTTCGGTCCTTTGGTTGATTTCTTCCTCTGTTCTCATGAACTTGTCCGCGAGTTTGAGGAATTCGGCCACGGTCGCGGGCTGGCTGGCTACCATGTGCCATTTAAACTCCTTGTGCGTTACTCCTCTCTTGGCCGCCGCGAGCTGTATCGCGGTATCTGTAAGCACGCTTCATTGAACCGCTTGATGTAGCCCCGGATGGATTCTCCTTCTCTCTGGACTACGAATCGGTTCTGCTAGGGAGCTGTACCCGGAATGTTGGTAGTCTACTGCTAGGGCACTGAATCGGTTCTCTGTGAGCAGGAACTCAGGCTTGGAGCGCCGAGGTGCTGACTTTGCGGGCAAGGCTCTCGACCCGCTTGCGAGCTGCGAGGCGGGGGTGATTTTCCTTTCCCTTCGGCTTGGGGATGAGGCCTGGCTGTTAGGGGGGTTCTGGAGTTGGGAGGCTTCTCCTCGGTGAGGGCGTCCGCCCTGAGGAGAGGCCTTAAC